TGTCTACACCAACCACCCAGAGCACACCACCACTCCGAGGTAAGGGGAACAACAGATTAGGTTTGCTTTTACTTTTGGTTAGACAGGGGAGTTTCAGAGTAACGTTACTGCTAGCAGTGCACTTGATTACAGCTTTAATGGAGACTCTTAAGGCACATCCTTAACATTATTTAAACATATGAAACAAACATGCAGTTGAGGAATTCGCAGCAAATGTCCCTTATCTAAAGTCGTATCCCTTTGACTCTAATTCCTTATAATACAATATGCATTCATAAAGGCTTCTGTTATAATTTAAAAGAAAACCTTTGAAAATCATTTGGCCATGTAACATGACAAAAATAGATATTTATTCAAAGCAGTGTAGCTCACAGCATGTACAGAAAAAGGCTGTTTGGCCCACCAGGACAAATTAAACACTACTGGGATAAAAATACCTCTTCTTATCTACACCAACATCCCGGCCAGAGCACACACTCATTAAATGACTCGCATGTTTTTGTTGTTCTTTATATAGCTTTCTTGTATGTTGTGAGTTATTTTTCTCCTATGTTTCCAGTCTACTGATTGATGATTACAATGATTTAGCTCATTAGTGGCCTGACTGGTCCTCCTAATTTGGTCTAAAAAAAGTCAATGATGATAATTGTGAAGGGGTGTCCAGCAATCAATATTAATATTAATAATAATCCAGCAATCAATAATATACCAAACTACATAGGCTAATTTGAGATTCGGAAATTAGTTTTATAAATCATATTTTCATGTAGGCATCAACCTGTTTGAAACTTCAATGACCCCATGATGTGATTATTTATATTTTAAAACCTTTAACAACTATATTAAGATGTTCATAAATATCTACATTTATGTATAAATGCATATGTAGCAGTTAGACAAACATAATTATTAGATGATCTCATTAATACCTATGTTAGGCCTATATGTACTAAAAAAAAAAAAGTTTACTAAGCCACCTTTTTGTTTTAATGTATTAATTAGACAAAATGATTTGTGCTGAAAGTCATACACTGTTGTGTCTCAAACGGATAGACTAGGTTATTAATTTATTTGCCAAATAGTTGCTTGAAAGGCTACAATAACATTTGCAATTCGTTTCTGATATGTAGTATGTTCGTTTGTCTCTCAGCCACCGTAGTGTCGTGTACAAGTGGGCGTATCTTGTAGGGGGCGTGGTTTGTACCGTCTTGCTCCGGCTGCAATTGGACCCTTGCTGGTGTTTTCGGTGTGTGCCATCCAGTTGCTTTTTCGGAACGTTCAAAGCATCATCGACAACATGGCTGACGCGACTTCGGCGGACGGAGAGAAACTCAGCAAAAAGTAAGCTTATTCTTCTCTTCAACTGCATTTTTATAATATGAAATCCTTCACTTACTTCAATTTTTAGAAATAACATGTAGTTTGGGAAATAATGACCGTTTAAATTCGGCTATGCTGCGTTACTTAGCGTTACGTCAGGTCAGAAGATGCAAGCGAAGTGAGGGCACCATATGGAGATTGGAGACACGCGACAAGCCTACACATCCCATAATTCAGTTCGATTGTGTCACTGGTATTTGTAGTCCTGGACCTGAGCTGACGCAAATCGCAATAATGCATTTTTGGAATCAGTAAAACTACAATATCCACAATAACGTTATGTTGAAGAAACGTCCTTCTGTAACGAAAACGTGTGGTTTCTTTGCCTTGTTTTAGATAAAGTCTGGTTAAACGTGTGATACATTCTATTTGTGACACTTTACTCATGTAAATGGCTTTGTTATCATGTATTTCAACGGTATAAAAGCGTCTTTACCGTTCTTAAAGAATGCTTACTGCATGCCCTTCGTTGGGCTTGAGTTTCTTTACTTGCTAGCAGTAACGTTAGTCTGACACTCCCATGTCTAACCAAAAGTAAAAGTAAACCTTATCTGTTGTTCCCCTATCGGATGGGTGTGTGCTCTGGGGTGTTGGTGTAGACAAGAAGAGGTATTTTATCCCAGTAGTGTTTAATTTGTCCTGGTGGGCCAAACAGCCCTTTTCTGTACATGCTATGAGCTACGCTGCTTTGAATAAATATCTATTTTCTCAGGTCTGTCCGCTGACTGGTAGCTCAGTATGCTGTGCCTGGTCAGGGCAGCCGGGCAGCAGCTGTGCCAGGCCTTTGCTGTCAGGGGACAGTGGTTAAAATATGCATCCCCATGTACAGCTGCAGTCCATGCACACATGTACGGGATCCGTTGGAGAGGTGACAAAAGGTTGGTGGCTTTTCCATTCCAATGAGAAAAACAACCAACCTTTTGTCATGGTCCCCTTTCCCTTTCTGCATGAGTGTTTCTCTCCATGGACTTCTATGTTTTTGGTTATTTATATAAACACCAGAATAATTTATACAAACCCCAGAATAGAGTTAAATGCGTGGTTATGTGGGAAATCAAATATGTGTGTGCACTTAAAGGTGGGTTAGGTCATTTTGAAGAAACCAGCTCGAGCGCGCTAGAATTTGAAAATACACAGCCGGAAAAAATCTGCCACTTCCTTACAGAGCCCCTTCTCCAACACACACGAACGCCCACATGACCAATGAGGGCACGAGATAAGTTTGTGCACTGATGGAAGGCTGACAGGCAGGTTGGCCAAGCAGTCATTTTAGCCGGGCCGGCTCAGATGATTGGTTGTGCTTTTTACAGTACTACGGCTTCCACAGATGACATTTTTTAATGGATTTTTTGTCAAAGCACTAAGATATTCATTGCTATCGGGATGTTAAGAGCATTCCATGGAATATAACAAAAAGTGTATCTCGAGCCGGTTTCTCAAACTTACCTACCCCACATTTAAGCTCCCGGGCAATTCCAGTTTTAGTTTAATCATTGACATTAAACTATATTATCTAACCTATGTCTCATCTTTGATTCCTCTTTCATATCAGTGAGCTGAAGAGACAAATGAAAGCTGAAAAGAAGGCGTCTGAAAAAGAAGCCAGGGTGAAGGAGCAGTTGGATCTAAAAAATGAATCCAATGATACAGGAGCCGAAGATGCCTGTGCGTTGGATGAGGAGACGCTTGACCCAAATGTGAGCTTTTTCTGTGATTTATATGCCTTGCTCTTTACGTATTATACTGGAAATGTTTTGGTATTTTTGTATTAATTCCATTGCCTTTTTCCCTCCAACATAGCAATACTTTAAGATCCGCTCGCAGGCCATCCAGGAACTGAAGGGCACAGCAGAGGATCCGTACCCTCACAAGTATCATGTAGACTTGTCACTCACAGAGTTCATCGAGAAATACAATCATCTACAGCCTGGAGAACAGCTGACAGAAGCTGCTCTCCTCAATGTGTCAGGTACAAGGCATATTTTCTTAAATCGTAAATATATTTGCCATTTTGTGTGCGTGTAATCCTGCAGTAGATCCCCTGTTAAACTTGATATATGATCTAAAGGCCGTGTCCATGCCAAGAGGGCTTCTGGTGCCAAGCTGATTTTCTACGACCTGCGAGGTGAAGGCGTCAAGTTGCAAGTCATGGCCAACTCAAGGTACAGAATGAGAGCACAGGATACATCATTTTTGTGTACAGGAAGAACAACATATTTAAAATACTACATAGACAACCCATGTGAATGTGTATTCGTGAACATACATGTCAAACAAGGAGGATGCTTCCAGATGCCATCAATAATCTAAACAATATGGTCACTATTCAATACGAGGAATATTAACAATAACAGCTACAAAAGTAGGATAAATAATAATGATAACGCTGGCCCTTTGCTTGCCTTTTTGTATGTCAGGGTGTGTTGGAGTCACATTGCACAAATGACTATAATGTCAATTCCTGTGTCCTCCATGTGGCGCTAGAGAACACACACTAATTGCACAGTCTGTTCCGGTGTATCATTTGAGTCACAAAAGGCTTATTATATGTTGCCAGTAGATGGCTCTATTTGCATGTAGATGTCATCAAGCCTGGACTCTTAACTAGCATGTGACATTTGACAACTATATGTATGTTATTAATATACTTGGAAATGGTGTGGAGGATAAATAGTTAAACTTCCTTTTTTTTATTACTTGAGTTTCATAATCTAACACTCACTGAGTCAGTAGTTGTTGTATCAGAAAATGACTGCAACTGGGAAACTTAGTTGAAAACAAAGACTGTAAATCCACTCAGCTCACCATCAACATAACTTGAGTTTGTGATTTGTTTTGTTGTGGACTCATTATATTTTTGTATTGTATAATGTCATTTGTTATGTCTTTACACCTACAATTAGTTTTATAATTAGTTAATTTCTGTATATCCTCTTTTACTCATCAGTAGCTACAAGTCTGAGGAGGCCTTTGTGGCCATAAACAACAAACTGCGTCGCGGCGATATTATCGGTGTCCGTGGTATCCCAGGGAAGACAAAAAAAGGGGAGTTGAGCATCATCCCCACCGAGATGACACTTCTTTCACCATGTTTGCACATGTTGCCCCACCTCCACTTTGGCCTCAAAGACAAGGTAATTCCCTTGTGATTAGACTATGAATTGGTAAGAGGAACAGAGAATGGACTACACAAAGCAGAACCATTAGTTTATATCTAACCTTTTTTTTTTAAGCATTAGGTGCTTTCACACCGCAGTACTTTTCCCACAAAGGTTCATCAGAACTTAGTTCCTGAGAACTCTTTAGTCCTCATGAACTAAGTACAGATTGCGTTCACACCGGAATAAGTCCCTGAGGGAGGATTAGGCAAATGAAGCCGCTGACGTCACTTCTTCTTCTTCTGCTTTGGGTGAACGCGACATTTCGGAACTAAGGTGGGAAAAGTACTGCGGTGTGAACGCGCTTATCTATTTCACCTGCTAATTATTTCTTATTCATTTCAGTTTGACTTGTCAAGCACGTGTAGTTAATAAGATTTGTCTGAATAAAGATTAAGTGGTTATTTTCACACTGGACACGCGAGGGCCAATAATAACTGTTGCTTCTACTCAAGGAGGAGGGATTGTTGTGATCTCCGCGAGCACTCAGAACGAGTATATTCTCTTTTGCACATTCACTCTGCTTGAATGGCTCCCTGGGACACCTATAATGTAGTAGAGCTATAATTAATGTCAACACTAGTGTTTTCCTGCTATGACAAGTCAAAGTTTAACTGTGAGATTGATTTCATAACATGTGCTAGAGGGAAGATCAGACCTTTTTTTTGATAAGTTTAGTTTTTGTGCAAATTTGTTTTGCCTAGTGGACTGGATTTGTGCTCTGGCAACGTTCTTTCTCCTGGCTACTAACGTTACAGTCTCCTAACAACAGTGTATAACTTTGCCTGGTGGGACAAAGGCAGCCGTTGCACTTGTGCTTCATTATTCAATTAATGTTTTCTTTCTTATAGCTTTCAACCCTGGTTGCAGTGTCACACAAGTAGAGAACCTCAAAGATGTTCAGTGCTGTTAATTGTTCTGTGAATTTGCTCACAGTAGCCTATGTTGATTGGAAGAGATAGTGACCTGTGGTAATAAACAATGTTAAAGCTTTTTTTTCTCACCACTTTGTAATCTTTCTCTTGAAAGGAAACCAGATTCCGCCAGCGCTACTTGGATCTGATTCTCAATGACTATGTGAGGCAAAAGTTCATTACTCGCGCCAAAATCATCACATACCTGCGCAGCTTCCTGGACCAGATGGGATTTTTGGAGGTAGGAATTGCTGTCTGTAGTGTATTAAGACATCCAAGTGGACAAGCTTTAGCGAACAAAATATTTCACAAATGTTTAATTACCTTTTGTGCAACAATTTGTATTTTAAAATGCTATAATATTACATTTCTTTCACACTAAGTTTGTGTGTTAGTTCCACATCTGAGGCAATAAGAATTATAGTGTAAACTGTTTTTGCTGACTCACGTTTGTGTTTACTTTAGATTGAAACACCAATGATGAACATTATTCCTGGTGGAGCCGTGGCCCGTCCGTTTGTCACCTACCACAATGACCTGGATATGAACCTGTTCATGAGGATCGCGCCTGAGCTCTTCCACAAGGTCACTTTTTGTCGTCAATTGGAACACCCTTTTCCTGTGAATTTTGTAGAGCTAAAACTTCAAATACTCAACGTTTTTGCCTTTTGTTCGTCATGTGTCAGATATTTCAATATTAAAGCTTCATATCATATCTTTCCCACAGATGCTTGTGGTTGGTGGAATGGACAGAGTGTATGAAATCGGTCGTCAGTTCAGAAATGAAGGCATCGATCTTACCCACAATCCAGAGTTCACCACCTGTGAATTCTACATGGCATATGCAGATTACCATGACTTGATGGAAATCACAGAGAAACTTCTCTCAGGTAAGTGCAAACACATAGTGAGGGGAAAAAATCCACATTAAACTCCATTGAAGTTTTAGGCTGATAATGATCTGGTTATCAGGAAACAGTTTATATCTTTGTCATTGAGGATGGTACTATTGGTATGAATTGTGCATTTGAAAATACAAATCCCCCACTCTTATTTCTTCTCGCTGTCTTCTCAGCAAAAAAATACTCTCTTTAACTCAGTGGTTCCCCTTTTTGCTTCAGGAATGGTGAAGCACATCACTGGAGGATACAAGGTGACTTATCACCCTGACGGTCCTGAGGGGAAGGCCTTTGAGATCGACTTCACGCCGCCATTCAGAAGACTGAGCCTGACTGGAGACCTGGAGAAGATCATGGGAGAGAAATTCCCTCCTACTGACAGCTATGACAGTGAAGGTGAGGATCTGTAGATGTTTACAGATGGATTTTCTGTGAGTGTAACAGTCCCTCGGAAATGTGAAAACAACTTTTGTACTTTTCTTACATTTTGTTTGAGGCTGTGTTTTAAACTGTTTTCATCCCTATTCGGTTAAACTCTTAATTCTTCTATCCCTCACCTGTAGGGTTTTTTTCATTGTCTGTATTTCACATATATTTATCTTTAACTCAGAAATATGACGTTTTTTTAATGATTTCTCTTTCATTCTTTTACCTTCAGAGACACGTAAATTCTTTGACGAGCTGTGTGCAAAGAAAGGAGTTGAATGTCCGTCACCCAGAACCACTGCTCGTCTCCTTGACAAGGTGCTGCATTGATGCACAACACTATTTGTTATTGCTTATTTTTTTTGTCAATGAGGTCCTAACTGCTGATCTTCTTTGCTCCGCAGTTGGTTGGAGATTACCTTGAGGTCACCTGTATCAACCCAACATTCATCTGTGAACATCCTCAAATCATGAGTCCCTTGGCGAAATGGTGAGAAAGACCTTCTTTCAGGCACATATTTATCTTTTCGAATGCAGTGCTTAAATCCGTATTGACACTTTCTCACTTGTTTCAGGCACCGATCCCAGAAAGGCCTGACGGAGCGTTTTGAGCTCTTTGTAATGAAGAAGGAAATCTGCAATGCTTACACCGAGTTGAATGATCCCGTCAGACAGAGAGAGCTTTTCGAGCAGCAAGCCATGGTATGTATATTATTTTTTATTTCTGTTGCATTGTTTTATTTTCTAAAGGTCCAGGCTCCTTGTTGTTGCAGTGTAAGTGTGTATAGTGGTGCATGTTAATAACTGGAGTTGGATCTTTTCCAGGCCAAAGCTGAGGGTGATGATGAAGCCATGTTCATCGATGAGACCTTCTGCACGGCTCTGGAGTACGGACTGCCACCGACAGCCGGCTGGGGGATGGGCATCGATCGTGTCGCCATGTTCCTCACCGACTCCAACAACATCAAGGTAAAACTGTCGTAGGAGTCACAATTCAAACTTGTTAAGTCCTTACACAACTTTGACAACTTTTTATTTTTTTAAAGGAGCTGATATTATACTTGAGTGGGTCCCCCTTTTGTTTGATTGTGCAAGGATTAACTTGTACTTAAGTGTAAATGGTTCACACTATTGATCTGGTTAACAGTGGTGGTAATTTGCCAAAATGTGCATCAAAGCGCTAACAAAAGGAATAGAAGAAGATTGCTGGGAAAACACAGATTTAAAAAAAAATACAGGATTGAAATGCAAAACGTTTAGTGAGAAAGGCCATGCACTTGACACGTTTTTTGTTTGTTTTAGAAACACAATATTTTGTAACTAACACAATGAATAAGGTACAAACCACAATTATAAAAGGACCTAATCAAAGTAACAAATCAGAGTCAAGAATGTAATCAAATCAACCTGGTCCCTGATCATGTAGTATGTGTGACCACATGGCACCTTCCCTCAGTGCATTGTCCTCTGAAGAGCACTTTAGACTTTGATCAGACTGAAGTGCAACAGAAGAACACAGGATCAAAGAACAATGGTTTAAAGAGATAACCTCTTCAGGAAAGCATATTTCCTGCAGTGTATGCACACTTACATAAGCTGCCAACATCAGCCAGGCAGTGTCTACTTTTATGTTTGCGCTCTAAGAGAAAAAACCCTCAGCTAACAGTTTTGTTCTCTTGCAGGAGGTGTTGCTCTTCCCAGCCATGAAGCCTGACGACAATAAGACATCAGCGCCCACAGAGGGCACCTCCGTCTAATGGCATGACCTCTGACCTGTGCAGGAGTCCGTATAGAGCAAAAGCCTTTTATAACTGCGGTCATTAGTGGAGCCTGCAGGTTTTGTGTTTTATCATGTTGGTGTGTATAAGGATTGATCCTTGCAGTCATTAAGGGGAATCATCTTGTCTCAGTTACATGGTTAACTGGTAAAGGTGACAAAAGCTCCTAATTTTCTTTTGTACTTCTTACAATTTTGCGCTCATATTTGTTGTCGTCCTTGTTACTTTTAAGGGGAAATTTTAATCCTCATTGTCATCCAAACAGTCAATGGATGGCATTTGGTCAGGAAGTCGTGTGATCTGCTGTGATGCCATCTTGGTAATAAATAAAATGGTGCTTGAGTCTGGCTACCAAATACAAATTAGATGCACAATAAATATGTTAAGTGTTCTCCATATATTCATCTGTTTTACCTGCTTGTTTGTCCTGTCTGACATTTTTCAAGCTAGACTCCACAAATTAAATATGCCTCTGCCAAGAGGTTCAAATGTGGGTTTGTCTGAATAAAGTTAATATGAATCAACATTGTTTAGTCTCTTGTAATGTTTGTGCTCTGTTTTACAGAATACAATTATATACATTACAAGAGCCTAAGAGTTTGAACAATATGATCAGAGGTTTAAATGGCTTTGAGACAAACTATTTAAATAATTGTCCACAGATTGTGTGATATTTCATTTACAGCTGTGAAGGAGATTATCTGACTCTTCCTCTGGGGCAGAGCAAAGGGTCACACTGACCTTGCAGCTGAATACAAAGCTTTATCAACCTTTTTCAGTAAGTGGTGCAAGAAAAACATAAGCATACAATTAACATGTTATATATAATTATGATTAAACTACCAATTATACATTATTTTTCATTTGTCTCAGACGCCAACAGGCAAACTTAACTTTAAACATTTTATTTAGATTGCACATGCACTATAACACTAATGTTTTGGTTTATAATATAATATTAACATATCAATACTTTAAATATATTTAGAAGAAAGCAGTCTGTTTTTGGTAGTTTACAATTTGTACTTTGAAGAGTAGGCGACTTTCAGAAGTGCTACATTTAAAATGTAGAAGAGTAGTTTTACGGTTGTGCATAGCTAGTATAAGACGTGAATACTTCTTCCTACAATGTTAATTTGTTATGATTTACAATCAAAGAAGTCTGCAATAACTTCACATTTTAAGACGCCACACACACTCCCCTCTCGTCATCCCAGCCCACCTCCCTCCAGGCGGGAGCCCGCAAACATTGGGATGGTGCGCGCTCCCGCGGTCAAGTGTAAATGCACCCGAAAGACTAGTGGACACACACCAGACACTGACATACACATACACTGAGTGAAGATGGCGATGAGAGCAGCGCTGCGGAGCCTCTCTGCAAACTTTTCCCCCAGACTTCCTCAGCTCTCGTCGGCAGCGCAGGTCTCCGCGGCCCGACTGCTGTGGAGGAGCAACTCCCCGCGGACCCTGAGCACAACCCCGGCCCTGTCCACAGGTAAATACAATAAAAATACATTTAAATGTCTGTGCAAATGTGCTGTAATGTTACACACTAACATGCGGGTTGGTCACACATTCCTGCTTGTCTGTAAGGGGCGAAACAACTCACGCACTTGCCCAAATCGGAGCAGAGGAATGCGACAGGAAGGGCAGATAAAGTTTGTTTTTATCTCCGGGGTCGCTGTCAAAGTAAACAAAAAACGTAAGCAGTTGCATGTTGGTAACTAAAATTGATTAAATCTTTTATTTTGTGGCTTTTTTAAGCCTTTTTACATACCACGAGCTCGAGTGGGACGTTAATTACTAACCACAAACAACACATTAGTAATGTCTCGTGCAGCAAACAGTTTGAAGCTTTTCAAACAAAACGCCATCCCCTGATCCTGGGTATGTGCCACACATAGCTGTAGAGTTATCAATCCCTGGTATTAACAGTCAGAAAAACTACAATTTTCTCTAGTTGTTGCCTCATTCTTTTTTTCTTCCACCCTGCATGCTGTTAAATCTTCAAACCCATTTTAATAACCAAAATAAATAAAGATCTGCAGAAATGTTCAGCTCTCATAACTGACTGCTCTCTCCGGCCTTGCATCAGCATCTTGCACATTTCACAATCTGGTTTAAACCTGTATTTTTCTGCATGGTCTGATGCCAACCCTGGGAATTGTTGATGCATTGTGATTCTTCCCTTGGGGTGTTTTTAAGATGACAGCATGAGCTGAGATTTAAAATCCTCTTTTAAACTTCAGTCTTTTCAATTGTCAGATTTACTACTCTTAAAAGGCTGATGATAAAGGAAACAGAATCTGCAGAACCCATAATTTTTTAGGTTGTAACATTTATTCCAGTAAACTGCACTTCGAATTGACAGCATATGGTGTTGCATAAGAAGCATACTCTTCAGCTGTAGTCCATAGTACAGTAGATGCTCTTTGGACATCCAGCCTATGTTTTTTGACACCATTAAGCTTCCCCTGATATGTACCACAATATTAAAGTTATTTTTCATTAGGTATTGTAAGAGCTGTATTGCATTCATGCTTCATAGTTTGATGTTGTTTCGCACTAATGGATTAATCTGTTCCAAGCTAAATGATTCCCCTGTTCTCTCCGCAGCCCTAAAGTTCACAGATAAGCACGAGTGGGTGCGAGTGGAAAGTGGAGTGGGCACAGTGGGTATCAGCAATTATGCTCAGGTGAGTTATGGAGTCTTATTACTAACCATTGATTTATGACACACTTGGTTCAGAAGTTTTCTGATGGCTATCTCACAAATAGTGATAGGCTAATATATGAAGTACAGTACTGCACTTTGTCCCCACCTGCAGCAACTGCACTATAACAAGCTAATTTACTGTTTTATGACTTTAGTTTGAGACAATTGATTACGGCCAAATTGCAGTAGTGTGCAGAAAAGCTCAAGGGCAGGCCCTTTACCTATAGTTCGGAGCTTTGAATAAAGGCCAGTATGTTGTCTTTGAATGGAATAAAGCTTTTAGATAATCTTTAACTAAATTAAGGAGGCATTGTTTCCATATGTTGAACGGAGAGAGATAATTTATGAGTGAACACTACTCAGGTTAGCCTGTAAAATGAAAAGTTTGAATTATTACCTCCCATGCCAAATGGACAAAAGAAGTCAAATGTGATGGTGAACCCTATTGTGTTTGTTGTGTGTTTATAAGGTGAAACTGCTAATATGTCTGAGGAAAGGATTTGCATTGTTGGATATTGACTGATTCGCGTGGTTCAAGACTGAATTGCTGCCCACTGCACGTCTCCAATATTTTATCTAAAAAAACAGATTACCTCAATCAGGCTCAAAGTTTCTTGCTGTGTTCTGAAGCTTGAACAATTCCAAGTTCAAAAAATTGTTTATTTATATTGAACTGCATTCTGTTAAATCCATGAACGTTTCTTATTTAGTAGCAGTATATGAGATATTTCAGTTGCATATAAGGACTTCAAATTCCAAAATAAGCTGTTCCCACTAAAGAGACTCATGGATATAGCCAACCGAGGGATAGAAGGCTCCAGCCAGTCTTTATTTTATATGAATAAGGTTACCTGGTGAATTTTGGAGAAAGACTAAAGCATTGTTGGTTATCCCATTTTCATGAGATTTGTTGACAACAATGAACATAATATATAAACAGCCATTTCCTTCTAATACAGAATTGCATTTAAGGCATCCTTAGATCACTGCATTTAATCACTTTAGTAATACTTTGTACTACGATTTTAGGAAGCATTAGGTGATGTGGTGTACTGTGGACTCCCTGAAGTTGGCCAAAGACTTGAACAGCTGGGTAAGGAATACAATGCACATTTGTGAAAGGGATTCAGTCAAGCGGTGTGATAAGCACTATCTGACGTGTGTGTGTGTGTGTGTGTGTGTGTGTGTGTGTGTGTGTGTGTGTGTGTGTGTGTGTGTGTGTGTGTGTGTGTGTGTGTGTGTGTGTGTGTTGTAGAGGAGTTTGGTGCCTTGGAAAGTGTGAAGGCTGCCAGTGAGCTGTACTCACCGCTGACAGGAGAGGTGACTGAAATCAACACAGAGCTGACAGAGAATCCTGGACTTGTGAACAAAGCCTGCTACGCTGAGGGTAAGCGTCTCACGTTCACCGTTGTTCTTTTCTAGTATATTTCTCCCTGTACATGTGTTGGTAAAATAGATGAGAAATTGCCAAACCAGAATAAGTTAACAGCTCAAGGTTGTCTGGATGTTCCCACTAGGGCAGTGGTTCCCAACCTTTTTTGTCTCGTGTAACCCATGAGCTGATCGCTATTCTATAAGTACCCCCCACTCATCTGTGATGATTCGCCTACATCGTTTCTTTTATTAAACTCTTTGTAATCGTATTCAAACCATCTGCTCCTTAGATTAAAACACTTGTCCTCTTAATACAAATGCATTTAGACTTGACCTTTACACCTATTGTCAGTTAAAAATATTAATATTAAAACTCACTTTTGGCAGTTTTAACATCTTTTGTCAAGACTAGAGCGTTTGATGAGACACTTGAGCTTGCTTGTCTCGAATAACCTTTGATAGTTCTGGGGGCAGGACACCAGGCATTTGAAAATGTATTTAAAATGTTTTTTTGTGTGAAAATACATTTCATTCCTTAATCTTTCTACTAACCCCTGCAATCCCCTCAACCCCATACCCCTGTTTGGGGACCACTGACTGCACTAGGGGGATTCTCAATTTGCAGCAAAGGTTGACATATAAAACTGAATATAAAAATACATCAACAACACAAAGCTTGATTGAGCAGGGAAATCCAAATGTAAATCAAGCACATACAGTATGTTCAAGTATACAATAGTGCAATTGTGCAAGGAATGCAGCCAGAGTGCTATATTTTATAAAGCATAGCAAAAAACCTTGGGATGAAAGAAACATGTATTGTGTTGCACATGAAAAATAAAATTGGGCTTTTCAATTATGAACTCTTACTTTTCAGGATGGCTTATCAAGATGACGATTGAAAAGCCTGAAGAACTTGAAGGCCTCATGGATCAAGCTGCATATGACACATTTCTTAAGTCATTTGAAGAATAAATGGATAAACTTGCAGTGATATTTTTGTAATGTCATTTCAATTAAATGTTAGAAGGCATGATTACCATCGTCATGGTGGGACACGCCTTCTCATCTGTGGTATTTATTTTGATACTGAAATTGTGCTATCAAAATAATATAAAATCATCTGTAATATCTTCCACTTAGGACTTTTAAGCTACTACCCAACAGAAGAAGCCTCTTTATCTCGAGATCCATCAGTATTTGTTCTTTGCTCCATGTGCACAGATGTGGTAATATATGACAACGAGATTGTAAGAGTTGTGTCACGTTCATATAATAAAATTTGGTCTTAACTCTCCTTTGTTTATTTCCTACTGGGTCTGTCTAATCACAACAGCTTTAAAATGGACCAAAAAAAAGCACAATTTTATTCAGCAATAACAATATCACTTGAAATACATTTT